CTAAATGTGGCTGCCACATCTGCAGTCTGTCATGTATAAAGGTATGTTCCTGTTTGCAGTGGGAGCAGGAACACCCAGTACCTGCCACACTCAGAACAAAGTATATCCACCCTGATGAGGTAATGCAAAGGTGCTGCTTTGTGGGGAGGGTATTTCATTGTAGCTGCCTCTCTAACCTCTCCCACTGGAAAGGTAACAAGGTCATTTACTCTCTTAACTGTGGGATAAGAGCCTGTTTCCAGATAGGAAACATATTGCAAATGTGCCAAAGCATATTGTAAACCAAAATCCTAGTTTGCATATAGTCACACAGCCAGAGAGCAGCACTGGTGGCTGAAGGAGATGCCAACGGAGAGATAGAGGAGGAGGGCAGCTGTTACTGCAAGTCTGTACTTAAATTCTCAATAGTCTTGAATTCTTCAATATTCTTAAATTCTTCAATATTCTTCAATAACAAACAACAAAACCCTAAACTAAAAAGCTGCAATGGCACAAACAAACAAACAACAACCCCAAACAAAACAAACAAATCCCAAACCAATCCCCAATCCACTTTTATAAATTTGTGCAGATAAGGTTTGTTTTTCTGTATTTCTTTGAAAGTGGTGCTATTCCAAGGCCATAGTCTCATAAACAGCTGAGTGCATCATTCCTGCTGTAGCTTTTGTGCCTGTTTTGCATCAAATTTGCCTTCTTCTAATGGTAAATGACAGAGACTTTTAAGCATGACTTTTATGCCAGCACCAAGATGCTTTTCTCTTTTTTTATTTGTTCAGAGCTGCTTTGGCTGCTCACCTGGTCTTGCAGTGCTGGTGTGAGCCCTCGGCTCTAGTGTGGCATTGGAGCTGGGATATCTGTGTGCAGCTGCTGCTCAGGTGAGGGATTTTGAAGAGCATTAAGTGAGATATTTAGGGGCAGATGGCTGCAGAGAACTTGAACAAATGAGTGGGAAAAGCTGAAGCATGTACAATGCTGACTTAAAACTTCCCAAAAGTTTTGAGGTCTCAGACACTCCCAAGTCTGTTGTCACTTACTAACTGTTCTGGCAGGGCAGGATGTTGGCAAATGTCATGCAGTTGCAACTGCAAAAATGGTTCTGCAGCCTTGGTCTTGCATCAGTAGCGAGCAAAGAGCTGTTGGTGTTCTGTTGTATTCTGCTAGATACTATGAAAGGCCATCTGCCAGCAAAGGCTCTACTTCATTCATTGATTTCCTCATGGAAGAAATACCTCAGGCTCCCCAAAGTGCTGAACATCCTTGTGTGTCCATCTTTGGGTTTGGGTAGATTCAGCCTTCTGAATACCCATCCAGCAGCTGTTCTGGAACAGAGCAAAAGCACTTGGGGTGTTCTCTGTGTCCATGCACAGGCTGCGTCACACTGGCTGGGCATACTTGCCCATGCTTTGGTCATTACAAGTTCTGTGGAGTGTTTAAAGCCAGGAGAGGTGGGCTGCAGGCAGGACAGTCTGTTGAAGTGCACATCTATTGGTGGCTTATCTGCCTTGCTGGCATTTTGGTTTGTCACTGAAGGTGGCTACACTCATGAGTCCGGGCTCCATGGTGATGGTTCCAACAGCACTGTCATGCGTTCCCATGGGCTTCCTTGGTGGATTTATTATATTGCCTCTCTGCTTTGGCTGTCTCTATATGATGAAGGCTTTTCCCATATTGCAAATAGCATCTGAAAAGCTGCTTTTAAAATACAGCTTCTATGCTAGTGAGAGGCTTCTGCTGAGTTATGCTTCTTGGCCACAGGTGCTGTTACTGCCCTCTGTAATGCTTCTTTCATTCCCCTGTTTTGGGTAGGCTTGGGCAGGGTCAGCCACAAAACAGCTTTTGTTACAGCCCCAAGTGGAGTCTCTGCATCCATGCTTGAGCTTCTTTGTGATCTGGAGTTGTAGTCAGTAGCAGTGATGTCTTGCATTTTACTGAGTTTAATGAATCAACTCTTAGACCAGGCCTGCAAGAGCTTTGTGTTGGTCTCTGCTGTGAGTACAGTCTCTTCTCTCCCTCCTCTTATACCCTTGCTACATGAAGACTTTAAATGCTGCAATAGCAGGTGCTTGACAAGGGTCTACAGATGTATTTGAATACTTTGTATGTTGTATTTACCTTCATGTAGAAAACCCATCCCTTTCTGACTGATCATTATTAACTTTGCTTGGACCTGTTTTGGGAGGTAGTCTCAAACTTAAGTAAAGCCTGAGCATTATGCATGCATGAGCTCCACTTAAATTACCCTAGTGCTTCATAAATCAGTTTGTGCAAGGATCATGTGTGTTGAGAATGGAACAACAGCACTCAGGAGGTGTCTGGGTCCTGTTTTGGGACCTGCATGACTCATATGGCAGCACAGATCCAAGCTAAGCTCCTGCTGTTGGATTAGGGTTCAGTTTCCCTCCATGACTGCATTGTGCTGCATCTTTTCTGGGTACCAGTGTTGTTGTCCAGTCATCCCTTGCTGACGTGAGTGAGCCAGTTAAGGTTAGTAATCCTCTCCCCAGTAATGTGTTCTTTCAGGAGCATTTGCTCTGAGAGTTGCTTTAAATATTGCTTGAACTGACTTTTTAACTCTCACATGAAGAGGTGAACAAGGAGAATGGGGAATGTGAACTGACATTAGGAATGGTGACACTGGCAAACGTCTATAAAAAAAAATTGTGGATGAAGGTAATATATGACTGGCTACTCCACTTCTTAGGGCATCTTCCACATGTTGTATTTGGGGGGCATATTCTACATGTTGTGTTTGGGGTCCCTTCCCATCCTTTGCCCTGATGCTCTGATGTGTCTTACAAGACAGCTTGTGAAGAAAGCTGGTGTCTGCCACACCATCAGTGTCCCCACCTGATGTCCCCACCTGATGAACCAGTGGGGTCCCACCTCCACCTGAGACTGCTTATTCCCAGAAGTCAGCAGGAGAGGTGGAAAATGAGCCTTGGCTCTGGTGTCACTAAAACAACTTTTGCAGGGGTTTTCTTGGGAATCCTAGCATGCTGTGGCTATTGTTTAAAGAGCCATATTCAAGCTGAATGGATTGCTTGCCCATTCAGAAAGATGGAAATACGAGTTAGGGTTTAGCCTGTAGCCTAACCTATAGGCTGGGCCTATTGGTTTAGATGAGACTTCAAACATCTCCAACTTGGGGACCGTCATCTTGTTTGTTATCTTGAGTGGACTGAGAAGACTTTTCAGGCCCTGTTGAGGCCAGGTGGTGCAGTTGAGCTCACATTTTTGTCCTTGCTCTTCTTTCTATCCCAATGCCCTGCTGTTACAACTTTGAGAATAGAGATCTTTAAAGCAAATCTGTTTGCTCTGTGTCCTGTAAATTGCAGGACTAGCTGAAGACAAGCACATTCGTGAGACAGGGGAAATATTCTGCATTTTGTAGGCATTTCAAGGTTTTCTGAGAAATTATGTTAATAGCAATATGCAAAGGACATGTGTTTGGATGTGAAAAAGGGCACTTGCACTAGAGGGGCTCAGATGGTTGTAATCTAGTCGGGGTGCCTCGTACCCTTGGAATACAGCACAGGGCATGGAAATGGGCCTGGGTGGGTGCCACCCTAGGGGCAGGCACGTCACAGGCACTTGGCTTGGACATTTGAATTGCAGCACTCAACAGCAGGCATTTTCTGTGTCTGTTTTGCTGTGAGTGATCCAGAGCCCGAGTGGCAGCATGTTTTGCTTCACTTAAAAACCTTAACTGGATCACCGTGAAAGAGCATGGAAAAGACAAATAGCCTCTCTTTTATTTGTTTTATTTTTCTTTTTAAATAGCGTTATTGAGAGGGTGACATTCCGCATTTATTTTGGCTAGTGTGGCTCTTTCTAGTAACTTCAGAGTCGTTCTCCCCCCTCATGGGGTTTTTTTGGCTTGCAGTTAACAAAGTGCAATTGAGCCTGAGCACTTGGCTCATTTCGATGGCGAGCATGACTTCAAGTATCCCAGTACAAGAGCAACGTGTGTGAGGTGGAGGGGGGGGAAATGCATCCTTGCATTTCTCCTCTTTCCGCCTTTTTCTTTCGGAGGAGCCACCTGTTACATTACATCAGCGGCTCCCAGGAACGCCGCCTCCTACCAAGGCCTCGAACAAAGTAGTAGTTCTTGTATTGTTTGCACTCAAAGAGCTGATGTAGTGCCAGCTGATGTCATTGTGTGCTTTGTGGGATCGCCATGGAAACCGGGCAGGTGGGGAGCCTGCCGCTGATGTCAGTGCCGAATGAGGTGTAGAAAGAAGGTCTACTCTGCTTGCCCCAGCTCTGCGAGGCCGCCCTCCTCGGGAAATAAAAAATGGACGGGAAGAGAAATGGTGCTTGAAAAAGGGAAGGCACGAGCTTCCTTCACTGAGAAAGCAACTTCTCCTCCCTCCTCGGATCCATTTCCCAATCTATTTTAATGTCCTAAAAATAACTCTTGCTAGATATTTTCAGGTGGCTGGGGCAGCAAAAGGAGAGCTGTTTGCCACATGTTAAGCAAGCACCTCGGTCACTGTTAGGTTACAAGGAGTGGTTTTCCTTTGTTCGGGTGCGCAGAACATGCTGTTCCCTGGAGCGATGCCGCGGTGAGCTGCTCCATCCTCCTCAGAGCTCTTGGGTGGGGGGATGCCCTGCAGGGCAGGTAAAGCTAAGACTGTCTCAGCTGGCTTGCTGCTCTGTTTTAGTGTGTCGATAGCCCCTTGGCCCCTAGTTTTGGTGATGTTTTCCTTCTTGGAAAAACCTTCCTTGTGGCTCAGGCCGGTAGGTGAGGCAGCCCCAGCAGGCCGATGTTGCACAGAGGCGTGTTTGTCTGTGAGCCCGTTTCTTGGCACCCTCCGCCGCGCAGAGGGAGGACAATGCCCGCTGCTGATTCATGCCACCCTTGCTGTTGACAGCCCAGTGACACTGTTACAGTGGTGGTGGGGACAGGAGAGCCAGCTCCAGCCCTCCTGGCCCCACTGTGTGCTCTGAGGAAATCTTGGGGTGTCTAACCAAAGTATCTGCTTGGTCTCCCTTCCCAGGAGGACTCAGCGGTTTCAAGCAGAACCACGAAAACCTCTGCGACAATTCCCTCCAGCTGCAAGAGTGCCCCGAGGGGGGAGGAGGGGGCGGCGCCTCCGCTGTGCCCCCCGTGCTACCTCAGTCCATCCCCACCACGCCAGACATCGAGAACGCTGAGCTCACCCCCATCCTGCCCTTCCTCTTCCTCGGAAACGAGCACGATGCTCAGGACTTGGAGAAAATGCAGAGGATGAACATCGGCTACGTCATCAACGTGACCACCCACCTGCCCCTGTACCATTACGAGAAAGGCATGTTCAACTACAAGCGGCTCCCGGCCACTGACAGCAACAAGCAGAATCTCAGGCAGTATTTTGAAGAGGCTTTTGAGTTCATTGGTAATTACCCTTTCCTGGAAATACTCCTGTTTGTTTTTTTATTGTTATTTTTTTTACCCACTATAACAATTTAGAGTGAACTTTATGCTTTGCCAACAACTCTGAAGGCTGGTTAAGGCCCTATTTCCTTTAGTTTGAGGTGTTAGAAATGCTGAACATATCATATTTCTGTCCTTTCTCATCTCTGGCACATCTGGTTAAGTAGCCTGAGGTTACAGTTTTTATCCAGTGATAGTAACGCCTACCTCCAGGCTTCTAAATTCAGGAAACCCCACAAAATTGAGACTTTCGTCATCCCGTCTTTTTGATTCCTTTGCATTCCTAGTTTCCACACAGTGGCTTCCAGCCAGTTTTTCATAGTGAATATTCTTAATGGTGTCTCAGTCTTTGCTAACTTAATGAGAAAACTGACAAACTTTCACACTTGGCTTGTTCCACCATTAGATTTGTAGTTTCAGAGTGTATGTGTGGTTGAGTGGATAGTGATGAAAACTTGCATTAATAAGCCCACAGACATGCAGCTTGTTGTGGAGATTGCTGAAGTGACCCAGCAGCATTGTTCTTGACCTCGTTATGATCAACACAGCACAGCCCTCAGCCAAGTTTAGGGTCATGCTCAGCTAGGCTAAAGCCAGATGGCCACTTCAAGCAGGGCTGGTCAGAGAGGACTTCAGCATGTGCTACTGAAAACTTTTGAAGACCTGTCCTTGTCCTTCTAGATGTCTTTGTGGACGCTGCTTTTGTGGCATAGTAAAAGTGATTCCCTAGTGCAAGTATGTGTCCTGAGAGGTTTTCTGCAATATGCTGGGGATATTTTACTGACATAAAATTCCATTTTCTTGTGCTGAGACTGAGCTAATACCAATACTTCAGGCTTGATGGAGGAGTACTAGACAAAGGAGGAAGTGTGCTTGTATGCAGCACTGCAGCATAGGTCCTTGACTGACCCTGTATTGGAGGGGGTGTTCCTCCCTGCCCTCCTTTGTGCTGGCTCTGCACTCAGGTGCACTCAGGCTCGGCAAGGATTTGGCCCCAGCTGTGGGACTGGGTGCCAGGGCAGGAGGGCCAGGCTCAGCATGTTGCTGTGAGCCCATCTGCCCCTGCTGCGTGCCGGCCAGGGCTGGCAGCTCGGAAGCAGACGGCTCCTCATCCTCGCCCGGCTGTGTCTTGGCAGGGAGTCCTGGTGTGCTGATGCCTGTGCTCCGTAGCCACACCCCTTAGTGAAGTGACTAGAGAAATCACTGCTTATGCAGGGCAGTTCAGGTGAGTTTTGCCACTCTGAGCCTTTGGTCTTGTCTTCTACAGTGTGAAGAACCAAAGGATCTCTAACTCAAATTTTCCCTTGTGTTCCTAACTCAGCCCCAGTGGTAGAAGTAGTGCTGTCAGCTCCCTAAGCTGCTGGCTACTGTGTGCCTGGGAAGGTGAACGCTTGTTTGGGTGAAGGGCAGGTAAAAGGGAGCCTTTCTTTGATCCTCTGGGAAAACAGCTGTGTCAAGGAATCCAGTAAAACCTTAAACTTTGAGTTCAGCAAGATGGGGGGAGATGCAGGGAGATGCAATAGGCTAAGCTTAGGTAAAGAGACTGTGGAGCTTCACTGAGGTCCTTCTGCGGTAGAAGAGAGAGACGTTTGCTCCCCTCATCCCCATGAATTGCAGGATTAGAGTTCTCAAAACCACTTAAAGATTGTGTTTGGATTGTGATCTTACCAAGAGCAGAGAAAGCAGCTTTTCTCTGGAAAGGTTAGAAAACGTTTTGAAACCCATTTTACTTTCCTTTTTAATAATCACAACTTGAGGGTCTGTCTTTGTTTTCAATAAACAAATATTTCTCCATTGAGAGTTTTTCTTCTGTATCAAATTAACCAGCTGGGGAAGTAGCTTGTCAAAGCTTTCCCTTCCTCAGGGTAGACTTTAAATTTTGTTTGAGAAGATTTGGAAATGTTTAAACAGCATATTGTTGGCCTATGTTTCTTTAAATATGTTGTCAAAAAACCACAACCAACCCCAGGTTTAGCTAAGACTAAAGCCATAGGAAGTGAAATCATCAGAAACTCTCTGGGAATGTGTGTCAAAATGTGTTAGAGAGTTTCAGCTTTCTGAAATACTAACTGGCAAAAATGTCTAGAGGGAAGTTGGCTTCATTTGTGCTTTCACAGTACAGATTGAACATGTGGGGTGGGTTGAACTGTACTCATGGTGGGATTGGATTAATGCCAAAACCTGCAAACTAAATTCACATTTCTCCTGCGGAATGAAACAAAAGAGGTCGTTTGAAGTGTCACTTTGTGAAAGTTCCATCTCCTGTTTTAAAAGCAAGCTCTGGCAGATGAGGATGGTACGGCAGTGACTCTCTGCTCTCATGTCCTGTTAGTATGTGGTTAGAAGGACTGTCTCCCCTAAATGCTGCCCAGGGAGCCTCCCTCTTAAGTGATGAATCTTGCTGGAGCAGAGTGTGTGTATCCAGCTTCTCCTTTTGCACAGAGCCACCACAGCAGAGAGCCCCACTGAAGCTCATTTCAAGAATAGCTTTGTAAAGCTTCAGAGGACAGGGCTTTGAAACAGATGTATTGTTATGGACTGAATCTGAAAATACCTTTTAGGTTTTTAGAAGAGTGGTTCCCTGTTTTGAAAAACAGGGAGGTTGAGATGCTGATGTAACGCAGTGGCATTGCAACTGAAGTGGAAATGGAGCTTGAGATTCCTCATCATGGGCCTTGCCCTCCTTAAGAAATGCTCCCTGGCAGTGAAGCAGCGTCTCTCAATGTATGGTTCCATCCACTAATTAAGGGTAGAGAGTGGATGTGGGGATGTTCAGTGGCAGACTGGACTGAGGATTTCACATTGAGTAGCTCTGAAACCTCAGGGGAAGATGAGCTGGAAGGGAAGGGGAAGAGACAGTGCTGTGCTTGCAATCAAATCAAGGGACTTGTCACATGAAGTTGCTCTTAATTGCAATGAGCTTGTTCTAATTTGCAAACTGGCAAAAAGTCTTATTTTCTTCTGTCTGTCTCGTTTGCAGAGGAAGCTCATCAGTGTGGGAAAGGTCTCCTCATCCACTGCCAGGCCGGTGTCTCTCGATCTGCCACCATCGTTATCGCGTACTTAATGAAGCACACACGCATGACCATGACGGATGCCTATAAATTTGTCAAAGGCAAACGACCAATCATTTCCCCCAACCTTAACTTTATGGGGCAGTTACTGGAGTTCGAAGAAGATCTGAACAATGGAGTCACCCCACGAATCCTCACACCGAAGCTGATTGGCGTAGAGACTGTCGTGTGACAGCCGAGCTGCGAGGGGGCTGAACCTGTTCTTCACCTGATTTGGGGCAGTGATGGGTGGGTTGTGGGGTTTTCTTTTTAGCTTTCAAAGGGGAGTTTTGTGGCAAACTTTTTGTGAATAAAAACCTTTTTTTGTAAGGAAAGGTTTTTAAAAGATCCAAGAACTTTGCTGGGTTTGGGATGCTGTTATGATTTCCTTCTCAGACACCAGCAGAGCAGGGAGGCTTCAGAGCAAAAGGAGTACTTTTTAAAATAAAAACAACAACAAGAAGAAGAAACGTTGGGCTTTTTTTCTTTTAATTTTTATTTTTCCCCTCCTCTCTGGCTACTTGTAGAGTTTATGGCTAAGTAGTCTGTGCAGGTTCATAGACTGAAGAAACCTAAGTTGAAGACAAAACACAAATAGCCAAAACAAAGCAGAAAAAAAACTTCCCTGAAACAGAAGGGCCTTCGTTCTGCAAAGGCTTTGCTAAAGATAACCTAGCAAAATGCTCACCGATGCAAAGGAAATCAGAGCAGCTTAAAAGTCTGCAAGGCACTTTTCACACTCCTGACTCAAACTAAAGAAGAAAACAAAGTTCATTTGGCGTGTTTCATGTTCCAGTTCTATTTTTCTATTTTGGGGTGTAAGGTTTTAACAGTAAGGGACTTCGATCATTCTATGCCATATGCCTTCACTGGCTTCTTGTGCAATAATAATTTGGGGTTTGTTTTGAGTGTTCAAACCAATTAAGAGTTGGCTGCCCACTAATAATAAGATAATAATTTTTAAAGTCTAATAGTGCAACAGCAGCCAGCTTGGTTCAGAAAGGATAAATGAGAGCAGTTATTTTGTTCCTTTATATGATTTTGAATCCTGGTTACAGTGCCATAAACCTTGTTACATATGTATATCAGAATGTACAAAAATCTAGAACAAGCAAAGTTTATTTAAAAATATTTTTCGCACAAAATATTGGTGTGTTTCAGTTGTCTATGTAAAAGAAATTTGATTATAAAACAAAAAAATCTTTTGGAAAGTGTGTGTCCTTTTATTTCTTTAGCCATTTTCCATTTTCTTTCTATGGGATGGGGTTTTTGTTTTGTTCCCTTCGGTTTGATTTTTTTGTGGCATTGTACCTCTCACATTGACAAAATTGATCTCTCGTTTGGCATCTCCCCTTCAGTGTTGCGTTCCTGTCCTCTGCTGGTGGAACATGTTTTCTTTGCTTTCTGCTCTACTCTTGCATCTCTCTGTAACCAGATTTTTCTCTCTGGTTCGACTGAATTAGCACTTACTGGTGAGGGCTTTTTGGAACAGACCTGTTATTTTTACAGCTCAGTAGCTGTTTGGAAAAATAAGAAATAAACAATCTCCACTGATTCCTTTCCATATTCCTGTAGTTAACTTATCTTCTATGTCACAAAATTGTCCGGTTCTTAGACATATGTTGGTCATGTGTGCTTTTCCCTGGCCTCTCTATAGCCCCCTTGTTTTGTAGTTCCACAATTCCAGGGAATCATCCTCCTGGGATTTTTCCCTTCCCTCTTGCCCTTCTTCCCCCTCCTTTTCCAGCTGTGTCAGTGTTGTGTGGTGTGTATTGTAGGGCTGATGTCTTTGCCTGACAGTGTCCCTTGGGTGGCTGACTTTCGCTTTCCTTGTTTGTGTTCACTTTTTTTTTAACGATATGGTATAACCTGATCTGTTCTGGACTGTTACCACCTCTAAAATTTATTTGTGTGAGCCTAAAATTAATTAGAAAACATTTCTTGTATGATTCTGTTGTGGAAATTGATGTGTCCCAGGAAGGCTGATAGCAGTGAAGGCTTTTCCTAGATGAAAACCTACATGGACTGAACCAAGTGTAAAACAGGACCTGTTGGAAAACTTAATGTATAATCACATTAGACATGTATATTTTTGTGGACATTTTACTTAAAATGTTGTTACTATACAGATATTTTCTTGAAACTTATCCCTTTATTAAATTATTTTTCTACTGGAGTTGATTTTTTTAAAATTTTCTTTTCTTTTCTATGATTATTATTGGACCTTTCTTTGAAAACGCCCTTGGCAGTGATTACTGCCCAGGAAGCAAAATCTCTTGGACTGTGATTGCTCCTGGAGCTAAGGAGAGAGTGGCTGGGCAGAGAAGGTGGCATTTGCTCGTTGGGGGTCTTTGTGCTTTGGGAAGGAAGGAAAGCTGCTCTGCTTCCCACCCTTGTCCCTTTCCTCCTGTTTGGGCCCAACCTGTTCCAGCTGTTCTCCATGAACTGCAGGTGCCCCTCCTTAGGTAGGAGGAAGGAGGTTAGAAAACCTTTCTTATCAGAGAACAAAAAGCAGCAGTGGGGCTGAGGGCTGGCTGAAAAGATGGTTTTTGCAGCCTATTTGTGGCCATAAATGCTGTGTAATAGTGCTGATGCTCTGCCAGGGAAATGGATTATTCACCAAAGGGAGCATGCAGGCTGCATACCTGGGGCCCAGCATGAAGGGAAGGAGGACTTGATTCAAAGTTGTTCTTCCATTTTACTGCTTTTCTTGTTCCTGTTCAAACACCTTGAGAGGGAGGAAGATTGTGCTGCACCAACACGACTCACAGCATCCTCTCTCTGCTTCAGCCTCGGCCACCGCATGCTGAGTGGATTAGGATGAAGTTTGCAGCCAAGTAAGTACTGGTGTTTAATTCTTATGTGAGCCAATGAGTAGCTCTTGCAGCCTTGAGTGAGTTACTGGCTGCAGAGGATTCGATGTGTTTACCTCAGTCAGGCTCAGCAGTTTGGCTGCTGCTGCTCCGTGCATGGGTGTGGAGCTGGAGTTTCTGCTGCAGGATCCCTGTCAGCCTGTGCTCGTCACTGCGAGGAGCAATGCTTGATTTTATTCTCCAGTGTAATGGTCTTGGAAATGATGGGGCAGGGCAGTGCAGGGCTGTGAGTGAGTGGAGTTTGCTGTGGGTTTGTTGGTAGTGGAGATGGGCTGATCAAACTCCTCCTTAGTGCAGACCATTCCTTGGAGGGGACCTCTGCAGGGTTGTGTCCCACTGATGGCAGTGCTGGGAGGTGGCAGCCTGGGAATTGCTTCACCAGGGAACAAGTTAGAGGGTAATGCTGTTTTTTTAAAGGCAGAATTTACTGTATCTAGTAAATGATCACTTAGCACCTTTATGCTAAGGGCAGGAGAAAGTCAGTGAGGGTTTGAGGAGTCCTGCCTGTGTGCACTTTTTGCATCCTTTTCTGCCACCCAGTATGATGCACTGCGAATATGTGCATGTGTGTCAGTATGAAGCCCCTGCCTGAGCACTCTGTGTGCTCCTAGCCAGAAAAAAATGAAAGATCTGCCCTCATTTCTGGGAGGGAGCAAGGATGAAGAGATAGGGGCCAGAATTGTGATGGGATTTAAACAGGTATGGTTACTGCTGTGGTACAGGAACAGCAAAAAGGTTATTTATGTCTTTAAAGACAGAATTGAGGCTTGATCACCCATCCCCTGCTCTTTCTGCTGGCTGTGACACCCCCATCAGCCACTCCAAGATGAGGCACAGTTAAAAAAATGGGAAAATCACTTAGTAGCCTTTTATTCACACGTGGGTGTCAGTAAGACCAAGACCTGCTTTTCGCTGCTCAATGTCAGCATTGTGCTCTTGTGTGAGGTGTGCTAAAATAGGCACAATCCTGGAAATTTGATTCCCTCATAGCTCATTTTCCATTTCTCCCCCGAGTTCTTGTTTCTGAGAATATTGCCCAGGTCCTGTGAGTGGCTCCCTGAGATCCACCTTGCAAAGCAAGGCATTGTGAGCTAGTGCCACTTCTGGTTGGCAATTTACTTTCTCTTTACAAATGGTGACCTGGCCATGTGTGAGACCTGTAAAGCTCTGTTAAAGCTGGAATTGTTCAATTCATCCATCTTGCAAGCTATCCTGACTTCAGGGTTGGACTTCCAGAGCCTAGAGATAGTTCAACTTTCCATGCTAAGCAGCTCATATGCTTTGTTCTTCTTGGGCACACTGGGGATAACTAGATCCCCCTTCTTGTCTTGGCAGATGATTTTCTGAGACTTCCTATGGCTTTACCTTTCACAGAGGTGCCAGCATCCTTTGGAAAAAGGCAGATGAAAGGTCCCTCCCCTACCCTCTTGACAGATGCGGACTCGGAGTGTTTTCAGCTGCAGTTGTGAGGGAAGCACATTGGTGCCGTATAGTCACAAGCTCTGCCAAGGACTCCTTGCAGGGAGGTGTGTTCCAAAGCACAGGCAGGAGCTGATGAGACTGAGGAGCCACCAGGGGTGTGGGACAAGGCAGATGGGGGTGTGTTTTGCCCTCCAGTCCTGCTTAGTTGTGGTGAAGCTGGCTCCTGCCATGCGTGCTACCAGCCACAGGAAGGCCTCTGGGAACTGAAGATGCTGATGCAGTAGGGAGGACAAAAAAGCCTCTGGGGACTGAAGATGCTAACTCAGTGAGGAGGACAAAAATAAAGTCTATGTCTCAACTGAGGTAAGGAGGGAATCAAAGAGAGATAAGAAGTAGTTGAGGATTGGCTCATTAGCAGGTATCTCTTTTCCTGTGGCCTGTTTGCTTGCTGTTCCTGTAGGCACCACAGAGGAGTTACTGATGAGCAGGTTTCAAATGGTTTGAGCCAGCCTGAGATGAGTAGCCTATAATCAGAGCCATTTGTTTTTCCAGTGAGTGTGCAGCTGCTGGAAAAAAAGTTCAGGTCCTACTGCGTTGCCAGGAGTGATACAGGGTGCTGCCAGCCCCCATCTTCCTCCCACTGCTTGGTGCAGTATTAATCTCTGTGCTCAGTCCAGTGCTCCTTTTGTTGAGGGGTTTCTTGCTTCTCCTGCCCCCATTCCTTCTGTTAAGCACTTGCCCCAGTGGAGCATGAGCAGGAAGAGTAGGCTCCTTGTCTTGCTTCAGCTGTCTTCTGCATCTTTTCCAGTCTTGTCATTCCTCAGACTGGAGGAAAGCAACTTAAAGTCAGTAATTTTTAAGGCATATTGCAGCAAGACGAATGTTTGCAATGATCTTGATGGGCTTCTGGTGTGATTTGGTTACTTCAGGCAGAAACTCTTCTTGGGAGCCCAGAGCCCAAGACATCCTGCAGCAATTCCAGCTTGCGACTGCCTCCTTACTAGAAATAAGGGGCACACTAGGGATGGCAAAATTGCACATTTCAATCACCTGCTGAGCATCTCTAGTTGGCGCTGCCCAGGTGGAGAGGCCTCTCAGGTGAGCTGTGAGCCAGAGCGAGGAACAGTAGCAGAACTTACCCAAGGTGCAGCCAGAAATCCTACTGCTGGCTTGGTGACCGAGCTGCCCTGCTCTTTGTGCCTTTATGGAGTCAGTATCCTGTATCCCACAGTATGTAGAGATGCCTGGCCTTGGAAGCTGTCTGAGGTCCTGTTGAATTTGGCTGGATCCAGTCTGGCTTAAATCCTGCCCTGTGAGATGCCCATCTGTTCAGCGTCTTCCCGGGATGTGACGGGAGTTTGTCAGACTGAGCCAAGAGCCTGTGAGCTCCTGCTTCAGGGCTGGGTTCATTTCAGTGGCAAGAAAAAATAACCTAAAGGTTTATTCCTGAGGATAAGAATGGCTGTATCTTGGAGGGGAAGAGTTCAGCACGGTACAGAAACACTAGAAAAACCTTCATGTGAACCAGGGAGTAAAATTAAAAATGTAACAAACTATTTCTGTTAGATCACTGAGAGGTTAAATATAATTTGACTCATATGCCTTGTCTTCACACTTCTGCACCTTAGCTTCTTTGATTGTCTATATATAAGAAGTGACATTGGAGAGCATGGATTTGTCCTGAAGATTTATTTTTCATGGAGAGATGAAGGCACTGTCTGGCACTTGTGAGTTTCATATCAAGTTGCGCTTCTGGCAGACGCCAGTGGAGCATTTAAAGAAGATCACATTGTAGAGCAGCATAGTAAGTTGCTATAAGGATGGCCAGAGGTTTGTCTGTGATGCAGGGCCTCTGGATAGAGGGCTGCTGGGTTGTAGAATCTCTCTCTGGTCCAGGACACATGCAGGTACAAAATGTCTAGTCAGAGGTGTTGGCAGTAGCTTCAATGAGAGCATGTTGCTTGTTAAAATCCACTGGGGTAATGGAACAGGATGCTGATGTGAAAAACTGAGATGCTAGCAGGTGGCTAAGGAGCTGTTCATATTTTCAGAGATCTGAACGAGGTCTGGCAGTCCTGAACCAAGCTTTGCCCTGCTAGCATCCATTTCGAAGACCTTTTCAAGTCATCCATCTTTAATGCAGTGTTGTGCATGTGCCTCAGTGCTTTGCTCTGTCTTGTAGCTCTTCAACACCTGGGGCTGAACTTTTGCATTTCCTTGTAGGGACTGGTTTCCAGTGTGAGGGAAGCAGGGGCACAGTAATGGTTTATTTCCCTCCTCAGTTTTCAGCTGTGCCCTTGAGTGGTGAGGGCTGTGGTGACCATCAGGACATGACCTGGAGTCCAGCTGTTGACCTGCTGGAGTGCATCCTGTCAGGGAAACTCTTCTGGGCTGGGGTCTGTCACAGTACCTGGAAGGGAAACTACAGTGCCCTTGGTGAGCTCTTCCAGCTGTCTTAGCTGAACTCTTATGTTTGTAGCAAGAGTAACAATCTCAGAAAGTTTGAAGAGTCCAGTTCCTGTTCTCAGTTTTGAAGCATATTGACAGTTTGATGCAGGGTCACAGATTCCTTTGGAGTCAGGGAATCTAGGCAGATAAATTGTTTACTGCTCCATAGGAGATGTATGAAACAGTCTGTTGGACATAAGAAAATATTTGGCTTATTTGGAAGTCCTCTCTGCCTCAAAGTATCACCCACACTTGTAAATAACAACATAGAAGCAGGAGGCAAGACCTCATCCTTTAGACAGGTGTTGTCTCTCCCATTTTTGCAACTGGGGCAGATGAGCGGGATATCCGTGGTCACAGGTCAGAGTGAGGAATGGAGCCCAGGAGCTAGAATTCCTCCTTCTTTACTAATGTCACAAAACCATTTATTTTG